GAAGCTGAGGACAGCAGGACCCCACAAGGTATTTTTGCAGACCAACAGAACCACATTACAGCTCTTCTGTTTGCTGAAGCCAGTGTCCATGATCCTGATTACTTCCCTGGAAGACATTTTTTTATCATAGTGGTAGTTTCATGGTCCAGAGTGTAACCTGCCTGTGGTGTGATGGCTGTTACTTCATGTGCAGAATATCTGGGACTAAGCCTGCCCCAAATGTGCAAAACAGCAAAATTGGGTTGAGAATGTGCAATTTTTGTCTCTTGGTCTTGTTGTGTAACTCTTGGATGTAGAGTTAAAGAGATATTTGACTTTTTAGTAAAAGATAGAAATCAAAATGAAAGCTGTGAAAGCAACCTGAAGTGTATCATTCTTGAGAACACTTCCTTGTCCGTATGGAAGGACAGAATACTTACTATGCTTTTTGCTTGTTTGTTTTTTTCCTGCAGAGCAAATGGATGAATTATTTAACCAGTGCTTTTTTCATGCTTTAAAATGCAAAGTAAAGAAGTCAGATCTCCCTCTACTGACCAGCACATTTCTCCGCAGCCATATGTTCTCATGCTGGTATGTGGTAAGAAGAGTATCTTTGTATAGTGTGGTTTTGTCCTTAAAAATGTGGAATAAGCATGTGATATTTGGGATGAAGTTTTTGACTCAAAAGTTAAAATCAGTTTTTATCTAAGGCTGTCTAAGATTTTGCTCACTCTCACAGTATTTGATGTGGGAACATCAGCACTAGTTTCATTTATCATGGTCTGCCTAAGAGCTTTTTGAATTAATTCTTTCTCTGTGATTCCTGTTTCTGCTGTTCAGAAAATTTTAGCCTAAGCAGCGAGATACAAGAGGAAATGTAGGGCAACCACTAACCAAATAACGTTTTAAAAATCTATCTATAGCCCTGCTGGACAACAGCTGGACATAAAGAAATCAAGCTATAAGAAGGTGAGATCTCTCTCTCTCTTTTCTTTTTTTTCTTTCTTTTTTTTGCATTAATTTAAATAAAAATGGAAGGAGAGAAAAAGCTTCAGGTGAAAGCTTACATGACAGAGGCATTAGCTACTCCTTAGCAACTGCTGTTTAGAGAAGCTGGTGGCAGGGAGAGCTGCCTTATTTATTAATTTTCTGACTTTAAAAAGCCTTTAA